TGATTATTATTATTATTATTATTATTATTATTATTATTATTATTATTGTCTATTACCATTATGAATTCATTATATTAAAAAGAAGACTATTATGTTGTACATTTACACATTTTATTTTCGTTTTCTCTTTTTTTCTCTTTTTTTCTTTCAAACCTTATTTTTCCCAAGCTGTTTTTCCCTCCCTTGTGAAATGTAAAAAAGAAAGGAGAAACACAATAATTTAGACATTGTTAAACAAGAGTTTGAAACTGATAGAGAACGTTATTGTCCATTCAACGAAGCTATTAAGTCTACGCGATTGGAGGGCAAGATTTCAACCTGTTCAACGTCAAGACCCACGCCGATGATCATTTCGTAGTCTAGTGATTCGATGTAACGAAAATTCGCGAGGCCTCGTCTTATACGTTCTTCAACATTCCACGATTACCGAGCCTCCATTTCGAATATCTCTACAATAGTTTCGCAATTCGCGTAGTCTCAGAGAAAATACACGGTACCAATTTATTACGTTCGTCCATCTTCTTCTTCTTCTTCTTCTTCTTCTTCTTCTTCTTCGTCACAAGCGTTCTTCGAGCGGAAACGGAGGCGTCACGGCCACGCGATTAGCCAAGAACCACCGAAGCCGTTGTTCCCTTTTAATTCGAAACAACGAGGATACACGAGCGTGGAACACACCCCGATAACATCGTGGCAACGTTCAATTCCGAAAGGAACATCCACTCACCCTAAGGATTAAAACCCCAGCCGGCTCGTAATACCCCGTACACCGATCGCCGCTGCAATTTCCATACACCGGTGGCGCAGCGGAACAATTTCGAAATTTACCCGGTAAAACGAGGAAAACGCGATAGCATCGAACATCGATCGAGCATAATTGGGAGTATACTCGATTGGGGCCAGCCGGCGGTTAAGCGACCGGCAATTATCGGCGTCGCAAATTCATTATAAACTAATTCCGCGTCGGTTTATCGGCACGGCCGCACCGCGTCAGGTGGAAACGTCCGCGGGGGCGGTTACACGGCGTTTCGTGCGTTTTTAGCATGGTTCCGCGCTCTCTCCGATCGCCCACGGCGTTATTTGCAGGTCGGATTTATGCCTGAAAACTTCCCACGAAGATTCAAGGTTCGCCGGTTCGTGAGGCATAAATCAGCCCGCCGCTTGTCGCGCGTCGTTCGGAGAAAGCTCCGCTCCGAACGCGCGCGCCTCTTTTCACCCCGCAACAAACGCGGGATTGTCTACTTTGTTAGCCGGCGATTTATGCCGCGATTTACGCCGCGGCCGTCCACGAAATCGTCCCGGCTTCGTGCCGATCGGCCATCCAGCTTCTGTCTGCTACGTCCACGGGATCTGACAGGTAGGGATAACGACGTTGATCGCGAGGGTGTCGATCGAGGCCGGTGCGAGCCGAGTGTCGAGTAATCGGAATTGCAGGGAACACGTGTAACCTTTAAAACGAAGACTCGCGTGGGAAGTTACGCCGGCTTGAACCGAATAATCGTGGCGGAAAATTGACGCAGTTTGCGGAGACGTTCCACTTTGAGCTTTATTTCGTACCGAGAGTACTATGATGTGTTACTCGAATGTTCGAGTAGAGGAACAGTTTTGAGATACGACGTAGAATTATGTGTGGAGAAGCTGAAAGTGATCTTACAATTTTGGAGGAAGAGGTATAGGGAGTCCTGCGATACCGTGAGTAGTCGGTGCTAGGGATTTTTCGAGAGTTATATCGAACAAAGCACGATACATTTTATAATAATAGCTTTCTTCTAAAATTTTCAATTATTTATGCATCTTCTTTCATCGATGCCGTCGAGAAATAATTCTCTATATTTTACACCCTCGCTATAAGAATTTCCCTTGCTATACAAATTTCCCTGGCTATAAAAATTTTCCTTGCTATAAAAATTTCCCTTGCTATAAGAATTTTCCTTGCCATAACAATTTCCCTTGCTATAAGAATTTTCCTTGCCATAAGAATCTCTCTTGCTATAACAATTTCCCTTGCTATAAGAATTTTCCTTGCCATAAGAATTTCCCTTACTATAAAAATTTCCCTTGCTATAAGAATTTCCCTTGCTGTAAAAATTTCCCTTGCTATAAGAATTTCCCTTGCTGTAAAAATTTCCCTTACTATAAAAATTTTCCTTGCTATAAGAACTTTCCTTGCCATAAGAATTTCCCTTGCTATAAGAATTTCCCTTGCTATAAGAATTTCCCTTGCTATAAGAATTTCCCTTGCTATAAGAATCTCTCTTGTTATAAAAATTTCCCTTGCTATAAGAACTTTCCTTGCTATAAAAATTTCCCTTGCTATAAGAATTTCTCTTGCTATAAGAACTTCCTTTGCTACACAAGTTTTCCTTGGTATAAGAATTTCTCTCGCTATAAAAATTTCCCTTGCTATAAGAATTTCCCTTGTCATACAGATTTCCCCTGCTATAAGTATCTTTCAACGTGCAATCAAGCTCCTATACTCGTTCCCTATACAGAAAACTCGGCAAGAGTACACTCGTCTTAAAATCACCACCATCTCGCCATCTCCCACACCCAAACTCGTTTTCTCACCGAGAGACAAAGAAAATTCCCCACTACTCTACTACTCGATCGAGAGGATCATCCGCAACTGGACGAAAGAGCGCAGAAACCCCTTGTACCAAACCTCGTAGACCCGTGAATTGGGCAACAAAGGGCCCGCCAGGTTGTCGATGATCCGCTAAGACAAAGAACGGACGGTGCTATAAAGTCGTAAGCTGGATCCGGCGAGCGTTGCCGGGTCGCGGCGCAGTGGCGCCCCCTATGCGGAGGCCGGTGCGCGCGCCAAGGCAGATGCGGCGTGGTTTACAAGAGGCGGCCGTGCCGCGACGGCCCTTATATCATCCGCGAAGAAATATGAGATCTCGCAGCCGGCTGTTGAACGTGTCGCGAGGCTCCGCGGGTGCGCGGAAACCTTTCGTAGCGCGCGCGCCGCCGCGGTTAACCGTCCCGACGCGGCGCGGCGTACGGACCGGATGCGCTTCGCCTCGTTTCCTTTCCTCCCGATGAATATGCACGCGCCCTACGAAGGGAAACGCCGAGACGTATTGCGATGATTTAACGCGTGCGCCGCGCGTGCCTGGGAAACCGGCGTGGAAACGCCAGGATAACACCCTGTTTCAACCACTCCTTCCCGAACCTCGCTTCGTTCCAACCTTCGCACTCAGCCTTTTCCATGGACCATGGCTGGGTACCGTCGAGACTTTGGCAGAGAATGGTAAGAAGTTTTGCGAAATATTTTATTACAGGTCTGAATTTCTCTAGAATCGAGATTTGGTAAGAGGGTACCGAGTTTTCCGATATGAAAATTTCTTCTTGGATAGGGTACCCGAATTTTTCGATTCGACATTGAACTCGAAAGTGAGAGGAAAATTTGAATTATAGGAAAAGTGGGATTAATACGGATGAACCTTATTAACCCTTTGCACTCGAGAGACGCCTCTCAGTCGCCATTTAATCAAACTCTGAAGATGGATGTTAATTGATATATCAAATTTACAATTACCCAACGATGTTTGCAACGATCGTCGACTTTATGGTAGGAAGTCTTCGAATTACTATTTTCTTGCAATGGAAAAATCGCCGAGTTCAAAGGGTTAATGTTAAGTAAATATTGCGTAGGGCTCTTGATAGAGGATTCAATCGTCGAACGTAGAACCACGTGAATGAACTTTATCCGTTTGAGTGCCAAGCGGCGCGATCGCGCTTCTTCTATTTTGTGTCCAAAAGTGCCAGCGCTCTGAGCTGCGAAGCTGACAATCAGCGCGCTCGGTTGATGAACGCGGAATGTGAGAAGCGCTATCGCGCTGCTCGGCATTTTTGGACACGGAATATGACAAGCGCTATCGCGCCGCTTGGCAAATATCGATTGGGAAACAATAATGACCCGTGGCACTCAAACGGTTATGTTACTCGCTGGGATATGAAATTGATGGGATATGAATGAAATTATCGATAATTTCGAATAGGGATTTAAGAAAGATTTTTAATCGTTTAATATCATATTCGACAGGAAGCTCTGAAAACAAAATTCAATTCAGATCACGTGTAATAAGGCAAAGTTAGCGAAGAGCTATGCGAAGATGACAGTGGTACCTTTCGACCAGAGAACGGAGTTCGTGGAGAAACAGGACGATGGTCCTCGCGCTGACTAAAAAAAGGAAAATTGTAGGGAACAAATGGCAAAAGCGGAGAGCAGGAGACTAATCTAAGGTCGCGACAAAGGAAAGCTATCCCTGGTGGAAGACGAAGGTTACGGCCGGGTCGTTGCTCAAAGCCTGGCCGGGCGAGGCCTGGCAAAGGGCGGGCAGTTCGGGGCCGCGAATATGGCCACGATAGTAATATTAATAATAGGAATAACAACGTGCAACGAGGACCATATCGATAACCCCGTGCAGAGCGGTCGGGCATTACCATAAATTTGAATGTCCACGCGTTCCTGCTCGCCTCTGCCTCTGTCTCGCTCTATCTCCGTGCCATTTGGACCCTGGCATCGGGCACGGCCGGTGTTCTTTCTTCGCGCAGGCTCACCTTCCTCGTGGTCGAAGCGTCTGCCCGCGACTGCAACCCCTTTTACGGCTTACTTTATGGCAAAGACTCAATTTGGCCGCGGCAGTTGGTGCCCGTTCCCGGTGACTAATATACCGGGATGCACCGCGTGGG